CCGGCTGCGAGATGTGCCTAGGAGGTCTTGTGGACGGTTCACTTTGATTCTGTTTGTTTTCCTCGCTCTTCCTTTATGAGAAAACAATTTTTGTGTTCTTGATGCCTGCAGTTAAATTAATTTTTCTTCTGCCTTTTTCTGTTGAATATAGTCAGAGGTAAGAGCACCACTAACATCCAAAATGTATGTGAAAATACATTAAAGACGTGACCTTTATCTGTAGGTCAAACACCATCTTCCTTTTGTGAGAGCATTTCAGCGCACTAGAAGGCATCACATTTTTGGTAGCCCTTCCTGATTGTTTAATTGCTAACAAGGAAAATTTACTCTTGGCTTTTGTGGCTGAATCAGATTTATCCTGCAAGTTCTTCATTATGATAATGAACATATTCAGTCCCAAAGTTTTGCTGTCCCAGCAGTAAAACCATATATAACTGCTTCCATTCCCTGTCAGCACTCCATCCCTCTGTGAACCTTAGGTGTATGTTTTACTTCAGTCTTTTGGAAGGCAAGGTGATCAGGAGGAAATGAGCACAGAGTTGAATCAGGAAGTTATCAATGCTTAGCTGTATTGCTTGTGGTCATACTTAGCTTATGTTTGTACAGTTTTTTATACTCCTAGCTCGGTATGCTAAACAAAGAATTAAAAAACTCACTACTGTCCTCTAAAATTAAGTAAACAACAAACAAACAAATGTTGTTTAATCCATGGCAGGGAGATGTGCACATCCAAGAGTCTTTATTTCTAAATTTTCTTTCTTTTCTGCCATATTAATCACCTTATCTGAATATTTGATTAGTCATTTACTAATGGACAGGAAATGTGTAAATATTTGAATTTAGTTAATTATACGATTACAAGCCTGACCTTGGGTGGCTGCTTCTCTAACTTCTCTAACTCCATGGCACATAGCTTCATTAACTAATTAGACAGTGGCTGACGCACATTTGAATTCCTCATGCAGACTTCGTAATAAACCAAGAGACCAGTATTCATTCCATCACTTTAATCTAAAATGCCAAATTGCCTGCTGAGAGGAACCAGATAGCTGGTGAGCTCTACAGAAGTGTATGAGGCAACCATGTTAAAACAGCAGTGTAGCTATCACTCAGTGATGAATACGTGGCAGGTGGTGTGGTTCCTGTTATCCCCATCTATAGCAGTGAAGTGTACTGCCGTAGACTTTGGTGAGCATAGCATTAACTGGGCTTCTGTGTTCACATGTGCAATGGACTGCTAGCACATGAAGTGTGTTGCCTTTTAGAAATTAGCCAAGCATGATTTTTTTTAGGAGAACTTGAGGTCATTGTAGCTGTTACAGGTTTGCTGCTCTGGAGCCTGGGCTTCTAGTAGCCTGCTGAAAGGGACTGTCACATGGAACTATTCCTGCACTGCTGAATGGATTTGGTTTGAGATGATCTGGGACTTGTGGTTCCATAACTGCAAATATTCATCAAACGTGTCTTCCTCTTCCGTATCTACATTAATAGACAGCCTGCTTCATTGTTGTAACTGAGCATACAGAGAGAGAACAATCCCTAGGCTCAGGGTTACCCAAGCCCTAATCCCTTTCTTATCATGTGTCCATCCCCAGCATTGTATACAGTGCCCTACAAGTCTAATCCAGAAGACTGGCAATGGGTGCATTTAGACGCTCAGGAGTAACCACTTTAGATACAATGTGATGCTTTCAGTTGTGAGCTTCTCAGAAGTAGCAAAACTTTATGTAGGATATTAACGTGACGTGAGAACCTTTTCTGAAAGGGTGATATATTTGGGTTCTGTATAGGGGTAAGCATGGGAGAAAGCATAAAGACTAGTGAGAAAAGGAAACAAGTTTCTCATCAATGACTTTTTTTGGAGAATAGTATGAGACCAAGTTTGCCATGTGGGGAAAATAGTTTTCATATGCATTTGATGGCAAGAAGAGCAGGTCAGTTTAAACTATATGGTGGGCAAGGAGAAGCCAATGGAGCTTTTTAGAGGTGTGGTTCATAGGGTTTAATAGAACAACCTAAAGTTGGCAAGGAAAAGGCATGACCTGGATAGACAGAAGACTAGAGAGGAGTCGATAGTAATCAATAGAAAAATAATGAGGGTGTTTTTAGCTGATTTGCTCGGCCTACAGTGTAGCTCTGTTGCCTGGGAGATGATTTTGTTCCTCAGCTTTTGCACAGAACCAAATATACTGGCTATGTGGAGGGCACTGAATTTGGCCACTGAATTCATATTGGTGGAAACTTGCTTTTCCAACTCATTCAGTTAACACAGAGTGAAAGAGATCATAGTAAAACACACAGCAGATCTTTAAAATAAACTTTAAAGCTGTTTGATAGGCCAGAGTCCTATCAGGGAGTGTTTGCTGAATGCATTTTTTGTTTCAATTGGTTTCACTAAGACAAGGCAAGCTTTTTGTGGATCTCATCTTTCAGTCTATTGCAACAATATTACAACTGGTTTTCTTTGAAATAGGAGTGCAAACAGCTTCCTAGACAAATGAATGGATGATCGATTCATTGATAGCTATTAAACAGAACAGTCAGGAATGTATCCTCTGGCTTCTCTGAACCAATGATGGTGGATACCAGGAAGGGAGTATAATTCGGGATAGATCACTATAGATGTACTCTGTTCATATGCTTTTCCTCTAAAGCACCTGCTACTACCACTGTCATAAATAGGATACTGAGCTAGCTGGACCATTGGTCTCACCTAGTATGGTACTTCTGTTCTTTCTAGTGTACCCAGGAGAGAACAATTTTCAATACCTACCAGGAAGTGATTGGACTTGTCTTCCATTGTTTACAGCACTGACGAATAAATGTGTGCGCACGCATTTATTCATCCCACATGTCCATGCCTGTTAAGCCAGAGCTGCATGCTCCTCAAAATATTGCTCATGTAACATATTTCTTGTTGAGGAAAAAGGGAGCTTTGTTTCCTGTGCTGGAATACTTGAAGATGGAGGTTGAGTAGAAAGGAGTACTGTGGCTGCAAAAATGAAAGGAGAAGAAGAGGAGCCACTGTTCTAAAGATGATTTTGGTTCTGTTGTGGTTTTGGGAGCAAGTCTCCCGCATCTGACAGCATTGGAAAGAGAACATGTCTCTCCTGACTGAGGTGAGCCAGATAGCAGAGCAAATACCGGCCTGAAAGCCTCCAAAATACCTAAAGCAGTGTTGTCCAACTTCAGCTTCTAAGAGCCTGGGGACTGTATGCCTAGGAGCTGCACCAGCAGTATCTACACCATTGGGTATGCATGGTTTGGGCCCCTTCCACTCCTCCTCCTCCCTCCCCTCTACCTCACCTTCAGCTCCTTGGCCCTAGGCTCACCTGCTGCACTATACATGGCCTGGATCCTCTAACCTGAGGGCTGTTCCTGCACTACAGGCTGTGCCACACTGCTCCACCTGTCCCCTGTGGTAGGGGTAGGAAGTAGAAGCCAGGGGTGGGTGGGGAGCCGCAAGACTTGGTTGCTGCTGCAGCTGGAGCAATGGGGGCAGCAGTAGCTGGGGGAGAGCCTAGGGCTGCATGTTAACCCCTCCCAGCCTGCATGTGTCCAACTGGCAGCCTGTGGACAACCCTACCAAAAGCATGAAGGTAGGCATCTAGGTTTCTGATAGGTTTAATGTGCCAGGACAGTCGTTTGCAACCAGGATGCCAGGATACCTGGAAATGCTGCAAGATTATTTAAAGGGTGTGGCAGGAGATAAGCAAATGTGAGGGGATAAGATGATGATGATTCCAAGCATGAGGAGTTAAACAGATAAGAGCAGGCTTTGGCTGTCCCTGCCTAGCTACACCCCAACCCCCACTGCCTGGCCCCTCTGCAAGGAGGTAAGCACTGTAATAAAAAATTGGCTTTTGAAATGGCATGCTATTCAGTTCACAAAAGTTATGGAGGGGTGCCTTGAGTCTAACAAGGGGGTAGGACTACTTTCCGCACACAACCTGGGAGCACACTTTTCTCTCTGTACTGCAGACCCAAACAAGCATTTTCTCCATTGGAAAATACCATCTCACCTGCAATGAATGCCTCCATTGACATAAAACTCTGAAAGGTGGTTTTGTGAAGAGTGTTCAAGGTAGCAACTTTGAGAGTAGTGTCGTTTATCTTCCACTTTTCTATTACACCATCACAGTAGTAACAAAGTGTAATAACAAGCCCAGTCCAGCAGGTTAATTTGTTTCTCATTCTTGGGGTAAGTATGTTGCCAAATGCAGCATCTACTGATTTGTGTCCTCTGAGAAGTATGTTTTTCCTGTCTTTCCCTTTCACAGTATTTTCTTTATAAAAAGGAAATTTTATATAAAATAAGGTTATTAATGCAAGCGGTGTTATGGCTGGTTAAAAAAGTGTTTCCAAGAGTGTTTTGCATCTGTAGCATGCACGTACATGTTGGTTTTAGTTTATATTGTTGGTGTATAATCATTTACATTTAGATTGTTATCCTTGTAGAGAGAGGGAGGCACAGTATGGCGCTTTCATGCACTGCCTTCAGTTATCTGAACTGCAGCTAGGAAGCTGTGCCTTAAAGAAAGAAAAAAAAAAATCTCTTTTACAACCCAGCTAGGAAATAGGCTGAACCTGCTTTCATTTGTTTTTCAACAGAAGCCTTGTTCAGTTAGTTTGTGTAGGGGGAATAGTCATGTAGGAGAAACTAAATGAGATGAAAAATGAAGCTTGCAATTGTTTAGAATGGTGTGCGCTTCCTGTGAATCTGTGTGCAACCCAACCATGGCCGGGAGGAGTTATTCAGTTCATTTCATATTCAGTATTGTGAGCCAGGAGAGATCCCATGTAAGAAACAAACATAATTTCTTTCATTTGGTGCCTGTTTTGACTATTAAAACATGTAGATATGCTATAGAGTGGGAAGAGTGTAGTTTTGCAAGTGACCCCAGCTGAAAGCAGTATCTATGCCTTCAGTCTATCCAGAGTGGGGCCTCAACAAGGGAACGCTAACGTTTTTCCCCAAATGCTTGTTCTGAACACGACAGATTCACAGTCGGAGAGTGAGGCTTCTCCTGTGAAACGGCCACGACTACTGGAGGACAGTAATGACAGGCCTGAGGAAACCAGTCGATCTAAACAGAAGAGCAGACGCAGGTGCTTCCAGTGCCAAACAAAACTGGAGCTAGTACAGCAGGAACTGGGATCATGTCGCTGTGGTAAGTGTTCTGTATCAGTATTGTTAACATGAAGTTTTCATACCCAGTGACATGAAGATCCATTGCATGGCTGGGAAAAGGGAACAGTCGCATTCAAACCATATAAAGAAAATCTTTGAGAGAGGATATAGTTGTTGCTGGTTGCAAACGTGAGTTGTCAGGCTCAGTTTCATTATAATACTCTCTCCTGATTTGAGTCTTTTATCAAAGGCTTTCAAAGAATATTACAAGCATTAATGAATTTATCCCCAGAATTCCCTGAGGTAGGTGAATGTTTTACCTACTTTACAGGTGAAAGAGTCTGCAAATTGCACAAGTCTGCTGCAAAGCCTAGAGGAGAAATGCATCCCTGTTGTGCATCTAAACTATATGGCACTTCTTTCCCTCTATGTAAAAATCCTATCTTTAGATGTGTCTAACTTTCCGAAAACTTTCCTAATAATGCACCAGACATCACTCTACATGATTTATCTCATAGGTGACTTCCATAAGTTGATGAAATCATTCAGCTATATGAGTTGAGAATGGGAGAGATACTATTGCATATACTGACTACTGGCTTTTCTCATTCAGAGAACTCAGCTGGAACTTGTAATATTGCATATAACTGATTTTTAAGGAAGAACAGTGAATGTGGCTAGACACCATGGGAGAAATTCTCATCCACACAAGTACAACTGTATTTGAAATTGGTTTGCAATACCAGCATAAGGCTACATTAAAAAAAAAAAAAAGAAAAGAAAAAAAGTTTTATCTATGTAGTAACTCTAGTCATATAGCACAAATGATGGACAAATTAGGTATCAGCTAGGTTTGTGTTTATCATACAAAGCCTGTCTCAACAAGGGAATGAAATGCCCAAATGACTTGCACTCAAACTGGCACCTGCAATATGTGGAGTATTGCACACTGGGAGGAAAAAGTACTGGTTGAACCAGTTATATAGACACAGCTTGGGGGTTCTGTCTTCAATATGAAATGTGTGATGAAAATAAGAACTACACAGGAGCAATTACAAGCTGCCTTTGTCTCATAAAGTCACTTTCCCCTTTAGTGAAATTTGCTCTGACCATACTCCAACTTACTTAAAGCTTAATGCAAGCATTAAACATGATGTGTTATCCTGATTGAATAGGAATTATAGGGGTATACAGTGACCCTCGTTAAAATGAAACGGGCCATCAAATTGTATAAAATCAAAAACAGTAATGTAGAGAGGCCATAAAGTTAAAATGGTAAAGAATTCAATCTGGACTTTCACAGTGAAGTATGTGGTAAGATATTTAGCAACCTATGGAAGCTCTGCCTTATCGGTGACAACTTGGAAGGTTCTCTTCACCCAGGATGATGGGTACAGAAACTGCTGTTCTCAAACTGCTTGTCTCTCAATGAAGGAGCTTGCAAGTGCCTCACAGGAAAAAAAAAATCCTTAATATTAAATTAAGAAAAATGTTACAAGTATGGAGAAAAAATGAATTGTGTACTTTTAGTGTCTCAGCAACTTTTGCTGCATTCTACAAATTCTAAACTTTCATTCAAAAATAACTGCCTCTGTTTCTGCTATGAAAATAAAGCCATCAGAGTGGAAAGCAGCATGCCATTACTGTTACTCCCATCTTGGCAGAAAAGAATTTCCATTCAAACAATAACAACTGTAAATTTGAAAAAGTATGTCCTCCCCCTGTCATGTACAGCCCAGAGAGGTGGGGATTATATTGCCTATGTATCTTTTCTGTCTATGTGTAAACAGAATGAGCAATTAAATGCCAAAATTAAGAAACAGAAAATTGCTACACGTGTCCATCAAGTTCTTAAACATTTATTTTAAAAAGTCCTTCCCCAAGTGAGTAGTAGTATTAAAACTAAAAATTCATAAAATGAAAGAAGGAGCCTTTTGTACAAGTATAATTATTTCAGATGGAAGGTAATTTTCTTATTGAAATAGTTACACTACTACAACCCCAGTATAGATGCAATTATATCTGTATAAAGCTGCTTGTACCTAGTATAGCTGCTTCTCCTTTCTAGATCAAAGAAGCTGTTCTGGGATAATTGCATCCACAATAGGGAGCCTGTTGCATTTCAACTCTTGAAGTACTATATATGTAAAGTTCTACAGCTTTTGTGAAGAGAAGGCCCTGCTCTTAATTCTCCATGCTGTCTGTGTAGCACTTTTCTCAACTTGGACAATGAAAATTGACTAGTCAGTTCCTTTCAGGGCTTTTTTTTGGAAATAGCAATGCAGATGTTATAGGGATGAGTTCTTAAACTGTTTCAACTGGATATATATAACTTTATAGAAATGTTTCCATTGGATTTAAGGTTCATAAAATCTTGTCTACAAATTGGTGATGTTTGGGACCAAATTTACTTTGTTCCTGTAAAATAATAAGCTAGGAAATGAGAAGTGAGATTACCTATTGGCACACATGACACATCTTCTGTAGTTTAGAGGGTGCACAAATTAACAGTCTAAATATGTCTAGTCTACACATTTAATGAAGGAAGCAGAAATAGAGGCTGTTTAACCTGTATCACAAGAAGACCACGTTAACAGTACTGTGAGAAGCCCACCAGCTGCAATTCCTGGTGATATATTAGCATGGTAGATTTGTTTGGGTGAGTTTGATATGGTCACATTCCAAATGAAAGGCCACCACTGAGTTATGGTGGCCACCTCAGGCTAAACCTCCATCCCAGTGGTTTTCAAATTGTGTTCCACAAAACCCTGAGGTTCAGCAATAGATCGCTGGGGTCCCACAAAGCAACTGGGGGTAATGGCAGAGCAGGCCAAGAGGCATTATACTGCTGTTGCTGGGGCCAGGTCACCTAGTTCCATGTCAGCCTTTAGGATGGGGAAAGGGATTCCATAGTAGAAGAAATTAAATGAAAAGGTTCTGTGACTTTATGAAGTTTGAAAACCACTGATTTTTACCAGAGGTCTTCAACTCCTGGCCAACCGGCCAAATAATCCAGCCGGCAGAGCTCTGGCATCCAGCCTGCAAGGTTCCCCAATGAGTCAGGAAATGTGGTGGTGAAGGAGCAGTAGCAATTAATCCCACCATCCCTCTCCCACTTCCAAATTCCCAAGCCTTGCTTGACCTAGTTAGGGCCAGGCCCTGTCCTTTCCCCCAGCATGTCCATGTCAGGGCCAGGCCCCACTCCCTTCCCCCCACAACACTGGGACAGGGCTGAATTGCCCCCTTCTGTGTGACCAAATCAGGCCCTGCCACTCCTGCCCCACATACCAGATCTGGCCCACTAAGAGACCAGGCACTGCCAATCCAGCCCAGAGGGCAAGAAGCTTGGGCACCACTGATTTATACCATTACTTCTCTAATGACAAAATTACTTCTCTTGTGACAACAACTGTATGTTGACAAGTTAACTAGGTCATTTTCTAAAGCAAGCTAACTTATTTTATTCTTCTGCATGTGAAGTCAGGTTGCTTGAGTCATGATTATCAGACCATATTGGTGGGGAAAAACTTAAGTGTATTTAAACATGTTTAATTCATTTAAGACCTATGAATCAGAGTGTTCTAGTGATCCAATTGCTACTTTGCAAGCCATCACAATTAGCAATAAGTACTTCATGTTTCACTGGACAGCTTAACAGTATAATCTCTAGTGTGAGGTAAAACAAGCATCTGTACCCAGGAGGGATTTTTCAGGATGCAGAACCTCATGCTTAATGCTGGTCCAGGACTGATGTAGCAAGTTCTGGACATTGTACCACTCTGGTCTTAAATTTCTGATTGCATTCTTAATTGCAGCAAGGGAAAAAGTATGTAGAAGCTGCTCAGTTTATCCTTTAGAAATAGTTCCAATAATGGTATTGTGTAGAAAGCAGGTAAGGGGGTTAAAGGCACAAATGAATGCAGTGTGGGGACAGGAAGAAAGGAATTATTGCAAGGCTATCACAGCTGCACACAGATCCGTTGGATACCTGTGTGCATACAGCAAGACTAAATTCTGAAGAGGCTTTTTTGGCTGCTGGTGCTTCCTATACAACAGCAAATGCATTGTTTGGAATTGTATGTTGACCGAGTTAAAAGCCACTGGAAACCATCTCAACTTTTAGGTAGGAGACAGTTATTTTGTTAATACTAGCATTAGGACTACAAAGTTTATCATTGGATAATTTAGGGCATTGTGGCTACTGGAAACGAGCATTGTACATAATATGGGGTTTTTTTCAATATAAAATTATGTGGGGTAACCATATTACAATAATACCATGCAACTTTGTGGTATGTCTCACACACACACAGGGAAAATAAAATGCTGGACAATCTTGGATTAATCGAAGACTTATTGTTCCTAATGTAGAATACCTGAGAAACTTGCATCAACCCATGCCAGGCAGCTCCTTATTTCGAATTTTCTATTATGTTTCAAAATAGACTGCTGTTATGTTGCTGTTGTCTTTCAAAATTATTAGGAGGTAGATGAGGAATTATCAATAAGGTGTTAACTTGAGCTGTAACTTGCAATAACTCTCTAATGAACTCAGACCAGTCCATGAGAACAGTTTCGTTGTTTCACTTTGGAAAGCATACTACGATTCCAAATAAAATATTTTTCTTCTCTCTGAGGGAGTCCCTTTCACAGTCACATTAGCTGCGAGTAGTCAAGGGAGCCCTCTAGGTCTCATCTAATGAAGAGCTGGTTTACTTGCTGATTTTCTGTTGAATTTAATTCTATACCATTGGGCTGTCATATCAGCAGGCTTTAAAATGCAACTATGCACAGACCTCTGACATTGCAAGAAAAATAGAGGACTTGATGAAAATGGACTGGCTTGGAAAACATCTGCCCTGCTCCAGAGATGTAATTTTCAGATTTGGGCCTCTTCATATATGTTCATTGCTTTGGCTTGTGATACTGTGCCAGCTGTCAAAACAATTAAGACAAAAAGGCAGAAAACCTGCTCTGAAGGCAGCTTTAATATCTCTTCAAGTTATATGTTGTCTCTCTGTCCCATGAAGTCACTTTCAC